CATTGGTTTCAAATGCATACCAGTATCACAGTTTTTTCACATTAAGTTAATCTAATTAACATTGTTTTTGAACTTGGCTTTGTTCTAGGCAACAATGTGTGCACATTGAGGGCTGGTGGCATGATTCATATTTTTCAATTACAATAAAATATGTAACTATTTCTAAAACTCAATCTTTTACAATGAAAGATAAAAGCACCAATCTTCGGGGAACACTGATTAGACAACACTGTCTAAAGAAAAATAAACATCAAGAACTCACAGTCATTTTTAATGATTTCCATTTTTGTCATAAAGTTCAAAGATTGATTGAATGGAGACCCCAGAGACCTTGTGAATTCTCATTTGAGAAACTAAAAATACACTGGTAACTTTCTGTTTTCTCTACTGAAGAAATGAATGAAAATGACTCTGATCAAGATAGCCAACTATTGGTTATTATCACAAAATTATAATCTTGAGGAAAGTATACATAAACAACTTAATTTACTAAATAGCAGTATGGTATACTACTAAGTCTAGTTTTGAGATCAAATTTCAACCAGTAGAAATAGTTCTTTACTCACCAAATTCGGAACAGCACTCATTCTCCAATGAATTTTCAATAACCTTTCAAGGAAAAAAAATAAGTAAAAAGGAAAATGTGAGTTCTTATTTAGGAATGAGATGAAACACATTTTGCAAATTAATGAGCTTAAAGTATCAAGGAACACACCTGGTTACACTTGAAAGTTAAAGTGCCTCCATTTAGCATATTTCACTTTAAAATATCCACAGTATGTTTAGAAACGTCTAATTACTTAAGACAAGTTAAAAGTTTTTATGTGCATGATGAGAACATGTCAGATGAACATCAAAATGATCTTGGAAGTTTTCCATTTTATCATTTATCATTTCTTCCTCACATAATACATTATTTTGGAACAATACTTTTCGATTTGAAGTTCCCCATTCTCTATGAAGAATATTTTAATTTTATTATTTTAGATGGTTTATAATATTAATATATGCATATTTAAAATAACATAAATGTTCATCTTGTCATCAGATATTCTTATACAATTTCAAAGATTTCGATTTATACTTGTTAAGGGAATTTTTGTGGCTATTTTTAAACCACCTTTTATTTAGAAAAATATAATGCAAATATGGAACACTGTATAAAATAAATATATAGCTTAATAAATGTTTACTTCATGACTAGTTTGTTAAAATTTCAACTTCCTTTTTAATATCCAGTTGAGTGTACTCTTCTTTTTTGTCACATTTTTGCTATTGCAAGGATTTTTTTCTATTCAAGGGCAGATCTTAATTATCAGCTATGCTGTTTTATCCGATGTGCAACACTATGTGAATGATACAGTGCTCTCTAACCTTATGGTTATCTTTTTGTATGTTACCTTTTTTAAATAGTTTGTCTAAAGACTTCCTTTGAAGTCTAAATTATCTAGTAAGATACATCTTTGGTTCTGGAATTCTTAAAAGGGTGAATACTCTAACATAACTATATTGTGCTATATGCAATCATTTTCTTGCATCTTTTAAATGGTTTTGTCATCCAAGAGTGCATCCAAAATAAACCATACGGTGTTTTTGTCTGTTCTTTAAAATATGCATTGTAAGCATCTTTTTTATCTACATTTTCTTTCCATTCCTTTTCTGCCTGTCCCCCAGTGCAGCTTATTTTCTTTTTCTTAAAGAAAAGGGCTTTATTTTGTTGTTTTTGTCTTATTTTGATCCATAGCCAGATTTTGCTAATTTTATTCAGGTGGTAGATTTAACATATTTTTCTCTCCTATGCATGTATTTTCTATTAATTTGTTACCTTATGGACTTGGTCAGGTCAGAGCACTTTTGTTTTCTTGGGGGGAAAAGACTATTTCCTAAGTGGTGGTGCTTTCTTCCTACAAAAGGAAGGAAATGATGTCGCTGGGTTCTCTTGTGATATTACTGGTGTTGGTGTTCAATATCTAGATCAACGTTTCTCGGCAGTCTCTCACTATAGCCCAATCCCCAGAGCCTTTTAAACATTATTTTCCCAATCACCACCCCCGTTATGAAATTCTGTTTTGACAAACATGCAAAGCCATTACTTCTTCAAATATTTTTCAGTGTCACACTCTTCCTTTTGGGACTCTGGTGACACAAATGCTAGATCTTTTTTGTCATCCCTTATTCCTGATGATTCTGTCTGCTTGCTCATTTAATCATTTTTCTCCCTGTTGTTCAGATGGATACTTTCATTACATTATCGAGGTAATGAGAAAAGGTAATTAAGTACTCGAACCTTGTGAGGTATCCCCAAGTCTGCCTTTTCCTCTTTCACTTCCACCCTGCTACCTCATCTTTGCAGACAGGTTTTAATTTCAGTTGTTTTACAGTTCAGCTATAAATTTTCCTCTTGGTTTTTATTTACAGTTTCTACCATGTTGCTTATAGTTTCAATTATAACTTCTGATTCAGGATTCTTCATGATTGCTTTTGCAGTATTTTTTAAAAGATGTTTAAAATCTTTTCCAGATAATTTCAACATTTTGTGCCAGAAGATGTGGTACATACACACAATGGAATATTATTCAGCCATAAGAAGAAAACAAATCCTATCATTTACAACAACATGCATGGAGCTGGAGGGTATTATGTTCAGTGAAATAAGCCAGGCGGAGAAAGACAAGTGTCAAATGATTTCACTCATATGTGGAGTATAAGAACAAAGCAAAAACTGAAGGAGAAAAACGGCAGAAGACTCACAGAACCCAAGAAATGACTAAGAGTTACCAAAGGGAAAGGGATTTGGGAGGATGGGTGGAAAGGGAGTGATAAGTGGAAAAATGGGGCATTATGATTAGCACACATAATGTAGTGGGGGGGGGACACGGTAAAGGCAGTATATACAGAGAAGACAAGTAATGATTCTACAGCATCTTACTACGCTGATGGACAGTGACTGTAATGGGGTATGTGGGGGCAACTTGATAATAGGAGGAGTCTAGTAACCATAATGTTGTTCAAGTAATTTTACATTAATGATATCAAAATAAAATAAAAAAAAAGATTGTATGTCAGTGACACCTTAACTTAAAAAAAGAAGAATGAACCTGCTTCCACTTGCTCTAAAAGCAATAGAGGCCCTGAGCTCATGTTCCTCCCTGTACCATAACCCACTGCATGTGTAAGCACTTATCTGGGCCCCCTGCCTCTCCACCATGGGACTCAGGGCACACGGGGAGCAGAAGAAAGCAGTATGAAGCTCCTGTCCTGAGACTTGGATTTTGTTATCTCATGTCTTCTTCCAGGATTCATGAAATTGTAGCAGGCCAACTTGTTACCTTGGATGTACTGTATAATAGCTGATCCTGACAGCCTGACAGAGGAACTCTCCCAAGTTGACAATTTTTAGGGTAAACAGTTACCAGGGAAACAGAAGGCATTATGCTTATGTATTGAAAGTAAGAAAATCCATTAGCAACTTAGCATTTTTGAGCCATGCTAGCAATCCACGAACATTCTTATATAAATACTAGTTCCACTGTAACTCTGACTCTGATGCCCTTCAAAGGATCACTTGACTTACTAAAACAGAATTCCCTTCATGCTGTCAGAACCCAGTGGTTAGTCTTGATTTTAAGGCATATTATTTTATAAAAATTTAGTGGAACATGTACCCAAATGAAATAACAGATATGGTAGGTTTGTGTACAGAGAATCACAGATACCCAATGAGAGGAAGTTGGGGTTCCTATGGCCAGGATCCTCACTGAACTTAAACCACCTGATGATGCAACTGGCCTGTTGCTGGGCTGCCGCTTCCACACCTTTAGGCAATACGCTATTATCGTGCTATATAGAGAGCTCACCCCAGTGCTCTGGGTGGAGGTAGAGATGCTAGTGCTCGACCTACCGCCGGAGAACAAACCAGGTAATAAACCCTTTCACCCCAAAGAAAGTTTTACTGTCAATTTCTTTGGTCACACTGAATCCATAGCGAACTTGCCCGGGGTTGAAACACATTGGCAAGACACCCAAAGTCATAAAAGCTAGAATGGAGTGGCTCAAAACTACCTTGCTTGGGACAGCTTTCAGAACCTATGGCAGACATGTTGCAAAAGGCTAGGTGATGAGTCAGACACAGCCAAACTGCCAAAGGTTGACTCTTAAATACAGGGAACCAGACACTATAACTCACTGGCAATGTTGTTTGATAAATTCCTCAAAGTTATGTTAATAATATTAGAGAAGCAGTTTGGAACTCCATTACAAGCCCTCATTTGAGGAAACAGGAGTCTATAGTAAAGTGACTGTCCCCACAGCCTCACGGTCAGTTTCCAAGTATTTGTATCTCCACAGTGTCTCTCCAGATACTCTACTATATCTAGCTCACAATGAACCCTAAAATAACTCTTTTAATTAAAGTATCATTGATAGATAATTTTACATTGGTTTCAAATGCATACCAGTATCACAGTTTTTTCACATTAAGTTAATCTAATTAACATTGTTTTTGAACTTGGCTTTGTTCTAGGCAACAATGTGTGCACATTGAGGGCTGGTGGCATGATTCATATTTTTCAATTACAATAAAATATGTAACTATTTCTAAAACTCAATCTTTTACAATGAAAGATAAAAGCACCAATCTTCGGGGAACACTGATTAGACAACACTGTCTAAAGAAAAATAAACATCAAGAACTCACAGTCATTTTTAATGATTTCCATTTTTGTCATAAAGTTCAAAGATTGATTGAATGGAGACCCCAGAGACCTTGTGAATTCTCATTTGAGAAACTAAAAATACACTGGTAACTTTCTGTTTTCTCTACTGAAGAAATGAATGAAAATGACTCTGATCAAGATAGCCAACTATTGGTTATTATCACAAAATTATAATCTTGAGGAAAGTATACATAAACAACTTAATTTACTAAATAGCAGTATGGTATACTACTAAGTCTAGTTTTGAGATCAAATTTCAACCAGTAGAAATAGTTCTTTACTCACCAAATTCGGAACAGCACTCATTCTCCAATGAATTTTCAATAACCTTTCAAGGAAAAAAAATAAGTAAAAAGGAAAATGTGAGTTCTTATTTAGGAATGAGATGAAACACATTTTGCAAATTAATGAGCTTAAAGTATCAAGGAACACACCTGGTTACACTTGAAAGTTAAAGTGCCTCCATTTAGCATATTTCACTTTAAAATATCCACAGTATGTTTAGAAACGTCTAATTACTTAAGACAAGTTAAAAGTTTTTATGTGCATGATGAGAACATGTCAGATGAACATCAAAATGATCTTGGAAGTTTTCCATTTTATCATTTATCATTTCTTCCTCACATAATACATTATTTTGGAACAATACTTTTCGATTTGAAGTTCCCCATTCTCTATGAAGAATATTTTAATTTTATTATTTTAGATGGTTTATAATATTAATATATGCATATTTAAAATAACATAAATGTTCATCTTGTCATCAGATATTCTTATACAATTTCAAAGATTTCGATTTATACTTGTTAAGGGAATTTTTGTGGCTATTTTTAAACCACCTTTTATTTAGAAAAATATAATGCAAATATGGAACACTGTATAAAATAAATATATAGCTTAATAAATGTTTACTTCATGACTAGTTTGTTAAAATTTCAACTTCCTTTTTAATATCCAGTTGAGTGTACTCTTCTTTTTTGTCACATTTTTGCTATTGCAAGGATTTTTTTCTATTCAAGGGCAGATCTTAATTATCAGCTATGCTGTTTTATCCGATGTGCAACACTATGTGAATGATACAGTGCTCTCTAACCTTATGGTTATCTTTTTGTATGTTACCTTTTTTAAATAGTTTGTCTAAAGACTTCCTTTGAAGTCTAAATTATCTAGTAAGATACATCTTTGGTTCTGGAATTCTTAAAAGGGTGAATACTCTAACATAACTATATTGTGCTATATGCAATCATTTTCTTGCATCTTTTAAATGGTTTTGTCATCCAAGAGTGCATCCAAAATAAACCATACGGTGTTTTTGTCTGTTCTTTAAAATATGCATTGTAAGCATCTTTTTTATCTACATTTTCTTTCCATTCCTTTTCTGCCTGTCCCCCAGTGCAGCTTATTTTCTTTTTCTTAAAGAAAAGGGCTTTATTTTGTTGTTTTTGTCTTATTTTGATCCATAGCCAGATTTTGCTAATTTTATTCAGGTGGTAGATTTAACATATTTTTCTCTCCTATGCATGTATTTTCTATTAATTTGTTACCTTATGGACTTGGTCAGGTCAGAGCACTTTTGTTTTCTTGGGGGGAAAAGACTATTTCCTAAGTGGTGGTGCTTTCTTCCTACAAAAGGAAGGAAATGATGTCGCTGGGTTCTCTTGTGATATTACTGGTGTTGGTGTTCAATATCTAGATCAACGTTTCTCGGCAGTCTCTCACTATAGCCCAATCCCCAGAGCCTTTTAAACATTATTTTCCCAATCACCACCCCCGTTATGAAATTCTGTTTTGACAAACATGCAAAGCCATTACTTCTTCAAATATTTTTCAGTGTCACACTCTTCCTTTTGGGACTCTGGTGACACAAATGCTAGATCTTTTTTGTCATCCCTTATTCCTGATGATTCTGTCTGCTTGCTCATTTAATCATTTTTCTCCCTGTTGTTCAGATGGATACTTTCATTACATTATCGAGGTAATGAGAAAAGGTAATTAAGTACTCGAACCTTGTGAGGTATCCCCAAGTCTGCCTTTTCCTCTTTCACTTCCACCCTGCTACCTCATCTTTGCAGACAGGTTTTAATTTCAGTTGTTTTACAGTTCAGCTATAAATTTTCCTCTTGGTTTTTATTTACAGTTTCTACCATGTTGCTTATAGTTTCAATTATAACTTCTGATTCAGGATTCTTCATGATTGCTTTTGCAGTATTTTTTAAAAGATGTTTAAAATCTTTTCCAGATAATTTCAACATTTTGTGCCATCTTAATGTTTATATTTGTTGAGTATTATTTTCACATGAATTGAGATTTTTCATGGTTCTTCATAAACTGGATAATTGGGATTCGATCCTGACCATTTTGACTGTTATTTTATGAGACCTTGGATCTTGTTTAAGTCCTATGGATAATGTTGGTATTTTTGTTTTAATAGGAATTTGAGTTGGTTAGGTTGAGGCTGTAAGTTCCAACCCACCTTCTTCGGGCTATAGTCCTAACGTCTTTGCAGTGGTTCAGAAAGTGGTTTGGGAAGTTTTTGCAATGATTTATATTCACTTAATTCCAACAATCCTAACAATTCAATCAAGTAGGTATTATGATACTTCTTTTACAGACAAAAAGATGTTTGAATTCAGCCTATCCCTAGCTATATGATAGTGGTCAAGACATTATTTGAGCTTTAATTTCCTTATCTGCAAAATGAGATTGGTAATACCTAGGTAATTGGACTGTTTGAGGACTGAATAAAATAACACATGTAGCCTACCTAGCATACCTCAAACTCTAAAGAAATCCTGGTTAATCTTCTCATTAAAAGAAAAAATCAGTTATATTGAGAAAAAGTAATATATAATCTAATATACACATTTTAAGTTATAGGAGATGACTGTCAACAACTGTATATACTGTGTAACCACCACTTCAATCAAGGTATTATAGAACATTTCCATTACACCAGAAAGTTCCCTCATGCCCTTTGCAGCCAACCCTCCACCCAACTTCAACCCCAAGCAACCACTGACCTGACTTCTATCACAAAAGATAAGTTTTGTCTACTCTAGAAATTTACACTAATAAAATTGTATAGTCCATACATTTTCTGTCTGGCTACTTTCATTCAGCATAATATATTTCAGATTCATTCATAATAACAGTTTGTTCTTTTTTATTGTTGATTAGTATTCCATTGTTTTACTGGAATTTTTTTTGTTCGTGATTGAAAGAGTTCTTACATATTCTGAATCCAAGTTCTTTGTTAGATAATGTATTGACTATGTTTTCCCAGTCTGTAGATTATCTTTTCATTTTCTCAATAGTCTTTCAAAGAGCAGAAAATTTTAATTTTATAAACTCAATTAATATTTTTTTATTTTATAGTTGTTTTTTATGATCTTTCTCAAAAAATTTTCCCAACACCAAGGGGACAAAGATTTTCTTCTCTTCTAGGAGATTTATAGTTTTAGCTTTCATGTTTCAGTCTATAATCCATTTTGAATGAACATTTTTGCTTATGCTTTGAGGAAGGGGGTGAGGTTCATTTATTCCCCATATTGATATACAGCTGTTTCAGTACCATTTCTTGAAAAAAAATCTATCCTTTCTCATAGGATTATCTTGATACCATTGTGAAAATCAATTGAACATATTATATGTGGGTTTATTCCTAGACTCTACTCTGTTTCATTTCTCTATGTGTCTAACTTTATACAAATATTCCATTTATTTTACTGCTTTAATTTTATAATAAGGCTTGAGAAAAGGTAATGTAAGTATTCTAACTTTGTGATTCTTTTACAAAACTGGTTTTGCTATTCTAGCTCTTTTGTATTTTTTGTATTTCCAAATGAATTTTAGAATTAGCTGTTTGGAACATAATCCCTGAGAGAAGTGAAACCTCATGGGGTCTAGAATCACAATTTCCCAGGCTCTGTCTAGGAGCAATTGTTAGATTTGATTTCCTTACAATTTGTTAAGGGATTTTGTATCTATGTTAAGTTTTATGCCTTTTAATGTCTTTTCTAGTTTTGGTATCAGGGTAATGCTGTTCTCATAAAATGAGTTGGAAAGTGTTCTTTCCTACTTTGTTCTCTAGAAGAGTGTGTAGAATTCATATAATTTCTCAAAATATTTAGAAGAATTTACCATTGAAGTCACCTGGATATGAATATTTGTGGGATGGCTAACTTATCAATAATATTTTAAAATACAGATACAGAGCAATTCATATCATCTATTTTTCTTAAGTGAGGTCTTGCATTTTTTTTTCTTTCAAAGGATGTGTCCACTTCATCTAAGTTATCAAATTTATTGGCATAAGGTTGTTCATAATATTCCCTTATTAGCCTTTTAATGTCTATAGGGTCTGTAGTGATGTCCCCTCTTTCATTCTTGCTATCTGTAATTTGTAATGTCTTCTCTCTTCTTTTTTCTAGGTAAGTCTGCCTAGGGCTTTTAATTTTATTGTTCCTTTAAGAGAAATACCTTTTGGTTTCACTGATTTTTTCCTACTGTTTTACAGTTTTTCAGTATGATTGGTTTTTGGTGTGCACTACCTCCTTTTGTCTGCTTGCTTTGAGTTTAGTTTGATCTTCTTTTCCTATTACTTTAAAGTGAATACTTCTATTCTTGATTTGAAACCTTCATTGTTTTCTCATGTAAGCATTTAAGGGTTAAAAAATATTCTTTAAGTACTGCTTTAGTTGTATCCCACAAATTTAGACATTTACATTTTAAATAAAAAATGTTTTCTAATTTCTCCTGTGACTTCCCCCGTGATCCATAATTTGTTTTGAAGTGTGTAGTTTAATTTTCAATTAAAATATCTTTCTGTTACTGATTTCTAGTTTAAATCTTTTGTGAGCAGAGAAAATACTTTCATGTTAAATGTGTAAGGTTTGTCTTATGGTACAGGTATGTTTCATTTTGGTGAATATTACAAGTGCATTTGAAAAGGTGTGCTCTTTAGTTGTTGGGTGGAATGTTCTATAAATGTTTATTAGGTCAAATTGATTGATAAGATTGTTCAGTCTTCTATAATAATAGTTCCCAAATTTGCCTGAACTCTGTTGAAATTACCTTCGTATCTTCCAAAAAATATTAATGCCTATATTCCAATCCTAGAAGTGTGATTTAATAAGGCTGAGGTGTACCTTGTTTGTTTGTATTTTAGTTAAGAGATGTCCAGGTGATGCTGATATGCAGCCAAGTTTGGGACTTGGGTTCTGTATCTTTACTGATTGTATACTTGTTTACAAATTACAGAGAGGGAGTGAACTCTCTACAGTTGTGGATTAGTTTCTTATTTCAGTTCTATCAGTTTTTGCTTCAGTGATATTTTATAGCACTATTAGGATTTTGCATCTTCTTAATGAACTGACCCCCTTTACCTTGTTTTAATATGAATTTCCCTGATTACTAGTGAAGGTAAACATTAAAAACAAACAAACAAACAAAACTTTCCGGTCATTCCATTTTCTTCTTCTATAAGTTAACTATATGTTATTTAAATTTTTTTATCTTGAATTGTCAGAATTATTTATATTTTCAGAGCTTTACTATGTTCACCCAGCCTGGGTTTGTTTTTAAGTTGATTAAAAGTGCTTCCTCCACTGTTCTAAAAACTTTTAGCTCTTCTGTTTACACACAACCAAAATTTAAAATCTTTTCCCTAATGAATGATTGTCTGGTTTAACAAATTCTTAAAGACATCTTCTAAAAGTTTAGATAATGTTTTTCATATTTCACATTTACCTCATTTGGAATTTAGTTTTGTGTTGTAAGATCAGGATCCAATTTCATATTTTTTTATATGAATATCCAATTTAACTAGAAACACCATAATTTGTCTTTCTACAGCACATTAAAAAAGTTGATTGTACCATTTACACTCCTAACAGTAATGAATTGTTATTTCCCACAACCTCACTGACACTTATTCCTTATCAGACAGCTTTATTATATACCAACTTCCAAGTACAGGTACTCTCTAATTTTCTTTTTGTCTATCCTAACATTAATACCACATTTTTTAAAGTTGATTTAAAATTTGATTATTATATAATCCAATATTCTACTTCTGGATATACACCCAAAAGACTTGAAGGCAGGGTTTCAAAGAAATATTTGTACACACCATGTTCACAGTAGCATTCATTATTGCTAAAAGGTGGAAGTAACCCAAGTGTCCATTGATGGATAAATGGATAAACAAAATGCAGTATATACATACAATGGTGATATTATTCAGCCTTAAAAAGGAAGGAAATCCTGACACATGCTACAACATGGATGAATTTTGAGGATGTTATGCTAAATGAAGTAAGTCACAAAAGGACAAGTAATGTCTAATTGCACTTAAATGAGGTACCTAAATAAGTCATAAAGACAGAAAAGAGTGGTGATTGCCAGGCACTAGGGGGAGAAGTAAATGGGGAGTTATTGTTTAATGGGTACAGTTTCAGTTTTGAAAGATGAAGAGTTCTACAGATTAGTTGTACAGTAATGTGAAAAAACTTAATAGTATTGAACTGTACACTTAAAAATGGGTGAGATGGTCTTTTATGTTACATATATATTACCCTATTAAAAACTAAAAGAGCAACAAAACCCTTTTCTCCTTAGCAAAAAGAAAAATAATTAAGTTGTTTTTAACAGCTTAGTCTTTAGCATTCTGCAGTTTCATCACAATGTGTCCAGGTATGGAATTTTTTATTTTAATCCTGTTCAAGAATAAGTGCTTCTTGAATCTGGAAACTTCAATATTCGATAACCTTGAAAAATTCCTAGTTACTAATCTCTGAATGCTGCCCGCACCCATTCCCATAGTCTTTTTTCACACTCCTATTAGATATACATTGGACATTTCCTATTTTTCATTTATTTAGCTCCTGCATTGCAGTCTAGTAAATTTTCTCAAATTGTGTAACACAGTTCCAGCCAAATGTTCAGTTCTCAAACACTGAAGGGAAGGTTTTTCATATATTCCTTTAAAGAATTAAAGTTGTATGTCAGCAAAGTGTGCCAGAAGTCAAGTCAAGAAACAGGTAGACATAAGGCTCCTCTTTGCAACTCAGGAGAATATGCTAAAGCCAAAACAACAGAGTATTAATACCTTGTATTCAACAAATATATTTTTTAAAAAAGCAGATGCTGCTTTGTGTCAAGTGTTAGATTATCTGGTATCAAGCCTGATTCACTACATCCCAAAGCCTGGCACATAGCATTTCACACGGCGTGAATGACCTGAGCAAGACATTTATTTACCCTTAAGCTTCAGTTTCTTTCTGTGGGTTGCAGTAAGGATCAAACTGGGAATAAAATAAGCTAAAAGGCTATAAATGTACTATTAAGATATTTTCTCAGTTGTAAATATTATTAAGGGATCAAATGCACTCGGTATTTAGTAATAGGTTGGGAGGATGCAGAAAGGAACAATTCCCAAGAGGTACACTTTTTCCGATTTGGGAAATAATAAAATACGGAGAAGTCTGCTTTTAAAATTGGTATTGCATTGGCTTTATGTAATGTCCACAAATGTCCTTTTCTTAAATTTGAATGATTTCTCTCTCGCTCAGATTTTGGTTTTACCAATCACTTTCCTGACAGCTATCAGAATTTCCCGTACTGAATTTCTCACCCCAATTATCAGGCTCCCGCTGAGACTTGACAAAAGACTCCGCTGGTGTTGGCTTTCTCACGCTTACCGTCGCTTCTACACGGTCATTGGCTCTTGCCCTTCCCGAACCCGCCCACGTCGACCTGAATCGTGATTGGATGCCCATGTCCTTTTGTTACGGCGAAAGGTGGACGCCGGGGCTCCGAGGGCGAGTGGGTGTAGGGCGGCTAGTGCGCAGGCGTGTCTTCTGGCTTGGGGATTGGCGGGTGTCCCGTCTCGGCGCACGCTCCGTGGGCGGAGCTGCTTGTGTCTGTCCGTCCAGGTGACCGGTCCGAGGCGTTCTCCCGTCCCCTCCCACTCCCGGCCTCAGGGACTGCAGGTGAGGGCCGTGGTGGCAGCGAAGAGCCTGGCCCGAACCGGGCCTGAAGGGCGGGACAGGCCTACTCGGCCCGGGGCAGCGGGCGCCCGGGAAAAGCGGGTTCGGGCCTGGCTCTCGGGCGCGCGGCTGAGGCCTGGCGCCCTCCAAAACCCCTGCGCAACCCTTTTTTCTCATCTTCTCATTGTTGGTCCCGAGGTTCCTGTGGGGAGGGGCCGCCTGTAGTTGGTCCCTAAACGCGGACGTCCTGCCGCATTTTCCCGCCGTTGCTGAGTCGAAGGCAGTTGTCCACCGCCGGCCCTGAAACGGCTGCGGGAAAGACGTTGGGTGGGCTGGGGCCTGGCACGCCTGGCCTCGCCCGCCGCTGCTGTGCCCAGAGCTCAGGAGATGGGAAAAGGCCGCCGAGTGTGGCCGCGGGGAGGCTGGTGAGCGAGGGAGCGGTAAGATACGGGCCGGCGATATCTTTCCAGGCGCTGACGGCAGCTGCCTGGTTAGTTTCTGCGCGGGCTTTTCGCAGGATCCTGCTAAGCAAGTTTTGAGGAGTTGACGACTAGAAAGGAGAAAGAGAATACATTCTTGAAAGGCAGGACTTGTGGTATACAATGTATCATTCTAGTACGGTGACGTAATTATCAAGGACATGCTCTGCTTGTTCCCAGCACCGTATCTACCCGAGGATCTGCACCTGTGCCTGTTAGTCTATCTGTACTCATTGATTAACGTTGTAGCTGGTCACTCTTTGGGGTTCTAGTTTATGTTCAAATACTCATTTGGGCAAACCGTTCTTTAATCTTGTGGAATTTGAAACTGGATTTATCTAACCAGAACAAGTCAGAATTTGAACAGATCTGAACAAATTATGTTGAAAATTGATGCAGCTCGAGGGAAATGAAATATATTGAGTTGCTTAGTTTGTGGAAATATAAAAAGTAATTGGACATCAAGGGTTGCAAAATGTTTAGCAAACTTAATTTAGTGCTGTATTAAAGTTTCTTAACGTTGCATAATGGAAAAAGCAGGGACTTTAGAGTTAGACCTGAGTGCAAATTCCTGATACAGACTTTGGCTATGAAATCTAAAGCAAGATACATAGTCTTTCTGAGATCCAGTGTCCGCATTTGTAAACTGCAATGTCCTGTTGATTTGATGAACTCATAATATATGTAAAGCATTTAGTATATTAATGCACAGTGACATAATTTTAGTAGTCTTACTAGTTAAGTAGTAAGTGAACGGCATGATGAAAATCAGTTTTAGATGCAGAAAGGTTGGGTGGTTAAGGTTAGACAGATATAAGGAAAAAGTCTTAAAATTTTAGAAGTCTCAGATGTGAACATACCTGTGGTGGTATGATGGGAAAAAGTAGACTGGGACTTTAGCTCTAGTCTTGGCTCTGTCAGTAACTACTTGGATCTTGGGTAAGCCATCATTATCATTGGCGTTGGTTTTTTTTGTAAAGGGAGGCAGTTGGAGCAGATGATTTTTCTTAAAATCTTTTTGTATCCTGAATTAGAGCTAAAAGGGAGAGAAGGTAATAGCTAACATGATTGAATACTTAAGGTACTGGGTACTGTTGCAAGTACATCATAGGTAAATTCATTAAATTCTCACAGTAAGACTACAAGGCACATACTATTGCTGTTCTCATTTACAAGAGGAAATAGGCTGAGATGTTATCCTTGCCCAAGGTTCCGGAGCTTATAAATAGCAGAGCTAGGATTTGAGGCCAGGTAGTCTAAATTCATGTTCTTATTCACTGTGATGTGGTACTGTAAAATGTAGGAGTGTTTTAGGTAAAGTAATAGTCCTTGGTCACAGTTACACATGCGAACTCGAAAAGGGTTCTGTCCTAAGGTACGCCACTCATCCTGATCTTTGTTCTCTTCATACCGTCTGCTTCCTGGACTTAAATTATCATAGGAATTCTAGATTCTCTTCCACTGACCAGGGCTAGATGAAGATAGGCACCAAAATATACTATTTGAGAAAAGTTTTTATGATTTGACCTAAGTTCAGTTCACAATTGAAAAATCTCAGAGAACCATGTCCATTTCAGAGCTAAGGCAGATTTAGGATAAACAGGTCAGCCTTAGCATCCCACATTCATTATAAGGTCCCCACACTTGAGACACTGGTCTGGATTCATTCTTTCCATGTCAGACTTGTGTTTATGTGTAGGAGCAGGAATTGAAAATGAGCTTGATGAAAGACCACATTTGACATGGAATTGGATTGATACAATAGCAAACTATAGATGAAAAAGAGGTTTTTATAGTTGAAAACCTTAATGGAGTGCATATTATGACTAGTACCATGCTAATACAGACATTGTGAAATTTGAGGATGAGGATTGATCTTATTTTGAAAGAAAATAAAGCCCATGGCTAAAATACTTGCATATAAAGAGCTCAATGAATCTTTTGATTCCATTTATAAAATAAACCAGTTTATTACTCTAAATTTCCTGAAAGACTGAATTTATAGAGAGTAACATTTTGAGGTCAGTCTATTTAATTATACCACAATAAGAGAAAACTGCTTTGTTGTGCAGAGATAGCCAGTTATGCTCTGGTCTGCTTTATTAAAGAGTAACGCCCTTTTACACAGGGCTGGTTTTTTACTCTAAACCCTCAGGTTGCAGTCTTACGTAGATGATGGCGTGAGTAATGCTCTCTTGGATTGTGTGGTATATCCTATAGCACTGCCCTAGTGCCCAGCTTCTGTGTGCTTGCTTCCACCCCAATCTTGAGTGTATTTCTCTGAGAGTAATTCTCCTCTGATAAGCCCCCTTCACCGCATTTTTCTTTTTTTTCCACATGAAGTTAAACTGTTGATATGCCAGGCATAGATTTTCTGTTCTTTGGCTTAGATGTAGCCAAAATTTCAGAAATTGACTTCTTTTTCATTACCTACTACATTGATCATTCTGGAGTACTTTGCTTTCATAGAAGACTTTTGGTTTAATTTTAGTATTAGACTGAAACATACGCAAAAGAAGTATACCCCATCCCTATATTGTATCCAGTTTCAAAATCAGGTACATTGATTTCATGATTATCTGTTGTTTAGGCTTGTATATCTTATAACTCTTCTCAGCTGCTATGAAAATTTTGATTTAGCTGTTTTCTTAAGAACAGCAAATATTAGAAATTTGAAGCACTTGTATATATTATTTAGCAGGGGAAATAGCCAAGTAGCAGTCTGCTATTGTTGAGTTCTCTCCAGACTATTTACTTTTGCTTTTGGCTCTTGCCTCTGTCATCCCTCCCAGACCTACTTTAGCTAGGTCATTGGTTGAAGTGATATTAAAAGTATTCTTCTTTCAGGAAAGTGTCAAAGTTTTCACTGCTACACTCTTCCTTTTTATTTATAAACAGACATGTTGATTAAATGGAGAGGAATAATTTTTGAAGTGTGGTCCTCAAATATTGCAATAGGTTGAACACCTTAAAAAAATTGAAAAAGATTTTTAGTAATCCATCTACTTGGATTTATATAGATGTACCAATGCATATATACTATCTGTGAAGTACAAAGAACCTCAATTAAAACCATGTGAAAAAGATATGAGGGAGAGCAGCTGTAATGCTGGATAAGTGGAAAGATGCTGGAAGACTTGGAGTAGATTAAGCACTAATTTTATACCATTTGTAGCTAGTTAATTTAATAATGCTGTGTAAGAGATGTTTAATATCTTTTTAGACTGATACGTAATATCTTGAGAGGTAGTTTCTAATATATACACTGAGCATTCTGTTTTCTTGTCATGCTAGTATCAAAAGTGTCACACAGTTAATTGAAGCTGTGGGAGAATATACAATACTGGTAAGTTTTGATTGTGATTCTGGTTCTAAAATGTAGACATCCTTGTTCAGTAGTTTTGGGTTCCATTGTTTAGCACATGGAGACATAACAATGCCTGGGTATAGTAGGTATTCAGTAAATATAGCATTTCAATAAATACTTACTGAAAGAGCTACAATATTGACAGGTCTAAGTTGCTTCAGTGAGTTGATTGGTTAATAAACCTGTTTTCAGTAATAATCTGGTAGCATTGTTTAATAAATTTTGAGCATATTGAATGAAATGAATGTTAGCAATAGAGAGAACATATTTCACAGGAATATTGTGCTCTCATATTTTGGAGCCTTTTATAGAAACTTAGTATTTATTTACTTATTTACATCCTAGTTAATCTGTTTTAACCATAACCAGAAGGTGACAAGTGAACATTTTTATTTATTCCATATTAGTATTTTAGACTTAGTATTTCTTTTTTTAATAAAATTTTATTGAAAGTATTAAACAGTATATATAAAACAATTCTTTAGTAATGAAGAACATTTTTAAAGGCATCTCTCTTCATCCCTACCATCATCCTTAATGTAGGAGCTTTTTTCATTTTGCTGTATTCTCTTTATCCATATTTATGTATATTTTATGTAATTGACAGAATGTACAATTTTGTAAAACATTCTTCCATGTTATTAAAGTCATTATAATTAATTTCAGTAGCCAGCTGGATTAGAAACTGCAATAATTTACCATACTGAATGGACAGCTTATGTTTCTAATTTAGTGGGTTGTAAATAAGATTGAAGTGAAGATTTTGTGTACAAAATTTTTCCTCCTTGGAAATTTTCCTTGGGCTAAATTTCCAAGAGTAAAATTATTTAGTGTAAAAAAATATTTAAATGTTTTTATGATTCATGTTAATTACCATACTGCTTTCCAAAAATATTACATATTTAACATTTGTGTCCAATGCTTTGTATTTGTTTTTTCATAACTTTGCCAGCATTGAACAGTGTCTTCTTTAAAAAATTAATAAATGTACAGTGGTATTTAGTTTGTATTTCTTTTGATTACTAAATCATTTTCTCTTGTGTACTTAATACTTCTCTTTGTAAACTATTTTTACATATCCTTTGCTTATTTACCCATTGGGAGTTAATTTTATTCTTAGAAACAGTAAAGCATGTGGAAGTGTCCTATTGGGTCACTTAATTTTCTTTTGAAGAGCAAGCTTATATTTTTTTGTTATGTAAGTCTGTGTTTGTAACTTTCCTTATTGCAGAACATTCATCAAGGATTTTGTATCCAAGGCCCAAAAGTTTGTTACCTAAGATGATGAATGCTGACATGGATGGTATGTTCTTTATTTTCCTTTTTGTATGGTCCTGGTTTTGTGGATGCTTTTGCTTTATTAAGCAGTGGAAAGAACAGAGAAGCAGTATTTGAAGATGTGGATTTCACTTTTTAACTTAAAGTTATTTGTATCCCATCTAGTTCTAGAAAGGATTTAAGGCAGCTTCCATTCCTTAACTGAGATGTTGGCAAAACATTTTATATTTACCTCAGTGTCCTTATTTGCAATGTAGGGATATAACTTTTTGCCTCACAAGGTTTTTGTATAAATCAAGTAAGATAATGAATATAAAACATTTTGCATATTTTTAAGTACTACTCTACAAAAATGGTACCTAATAGTAAATTTGAAACTTTTCATTACAGCAGTTGATGCTGAAAATCAGGTGGAACTGGAGGAAAAAACACGACTTATTAACCAAGTGTTGGAACTCCAACACACACTTGAAGGTTAGCTTACATTTTGTAGTTTTCTTGAATAACATCCAATTGATTGAAATTATAAGTGTTTATGTTGCTACATTTTATTAGTGTGCACAATTTAAAAAAGTGTACACCTCACAGTCCATCTCAGTACCCGTCCAGCCTGTAGCTTTGGCTGGTGATTTTAAAGAGCTGGTATGCTTCAACAAGAAAGTCAAATAGTGTTCTTATGCTTCCCTTGTTTAGGTTAACATAGTGCTGTTGAGTACACAAGAGCCTCTTTTAAACACCCTTGCATTGTTACTCAGTTCACTAAAAAAAGCTTTACTAAAGTAAAAACAATGTATTAGCCTTAGAGAATTGATCCAAGTTTTTCATTTTCCAAATATCTTTCATAAAATTAATACTCCACTGAAACATATTTATTTGGTTTTTATGCAATGAAGAGGGTTTTTGTGTTTTTGACACCAGAGTTAGCAGATCATATCACTGTAGTGGCTTCCTATTTCAGTTAATAAAAGCCAGGTTACTCTCCAGAAGTCTTACTTTCTTTTGCCTCTCAGAGTCATGGCTCACTCTGCCCTCCTTGCTGTTCTTTTCAGTGTCTTAATGGTTGCTGTTCCCTTCTGTTTGAATCTTTTACCCTTAGTTATGTATATATCTATATATTACATTGATTCCCTCACTTCCCTTTTAAGTCTCCAGTCAAATTCCCATTATCAAAGTAACTCTGACTATATACTGTATAAAAGGACAACTTGCCTTTTACCTCCTAGGACCCTTTCCTTTCTTTTTCTTCTGACTCTTACTCTGAAACCCCTAATTTTTCTTCAGGGTTCCTACATGCATGCTAGAATCTAAGTTTCTGTGAAGGCAGGGATTTTCATTTTTATTACTGTTGTCCCTAGAACAGTGCCTGGCTCTTAGAGGGCACCTGGTACTTAGTGGTTAAATGAATGAAGGGAGATAACTGTGTCTTTTGAATTTCTTGCTAATGTAAAAATACAAAGTGTTCGGTTGCTTGGAAACTGACTTCTATATCCAATATGTAAGTTCAGTTGTGTTCACCTACTACATTTTCTTACACATTCCTAGTAAATACATCATTATTTTATGTTAAGACACAAAGTTCACGTTCTGAAAGCCAAGTTAATATTTAAAAAAATACTATTTTAAGAATTAACTACTCAACGTAAATGCTGTTTACAAAGAATAACGTGTAGTCTAATGTGAAATACCAAGAATTCTGGATATTGCACTACTTCCACTTCTAATCTGAATTTGAAAACAAAATTTAAGGATTGTTACTTTTGCATGAATTTTAAGCATTTTATAAAATGGAATAATAATGCTGTCATTTTATTGATAATGGACTCTTTTATTTTTAATATAGATCTCTCTGCAAGAGTAGATGCAGTTAAGGAAGAAAATCTAAAGCTAAAATCAGAAAACCAAGTTCTTGGACAGTATATAGAAAACCTCATGTCAGCTTCTAGTGTTTTTCAAACAACTGACACAAAAAGCAAAAGAAAGTAAGGGATTGATAACCCTTGTTTAATGGAATTACTGCTGCTTTTTTCTTTAAAATTTGGATAGGTTCCAAAAGTTAGAGAGTACTTTTATTTGTGGCTTCATTGAGTATTTATGAAGGTTATGTCAGATTAGACAAAATTAGAGCATAACAGAAAACTTCCATGAGTTTGTGTATTATGTTAGTCCATGAAAATGTGCAAATGTATTGTAGAGTCTTTATAATTAGAAATGCATATATTTATGAAACTTGAAAATGAATGTTTTACTGAATTTTCTTTGAATTATAAGTTTAACACTGTCATTTATTATAGGCATAGTAAGAGATACAAGAAAATAATCACCATGTTGTGAAAAAGTGACCAAAATCATGTACTGAATGCATAGCTTTATGTACCCTGTCCACCATTTTGTGCCTCTTCTCCGTTTGTTTCTTCCTTCCCATCTCCCTTCTAAGGAAAATAATTCTTTCACATTGTAAAAGTAATTTCAGTAGTTAATCATCTATGAAAGTCAACTGAACCATAATTGTTGAAACTTAACCGAAATACTTTCTCAGTTAGGGCTTATTTGTATTTAGTTGTAAGATAGGATTGTTAATTTCTCTTCAATCAACTGAAAACAGAGGCTATAAAAATTAATTTTTTTTCTTTGAAACTGAATTGTGAAATTGAGAAGATTTGTTAAAAACCTTTTTGCACAAAATAAGCCATTTGGTATCTGAAAAGTTCTGGTTGTGTGTGTGTGTGAAATAGAAAATTTTAAGGAAAAATAGAAATAGGATGGAAAAAGTACTTCGTATACAGCAATGACCAATTCCAAATGTTTTTACTCCAGATCCGTGTTATCTTTAGCACAAATTAGATCTTTTGAAGAATATGTGTGAAAGTGGATGAAGTTTGATTAACTTTATATAAACCATATCTAGATTATAGAGTTTGGTCTCAAGACTTATTTGTAATACCCAGCAGATCAACTTTTGCAAAATCCCTTGAGTGTATTAGTATTGAATCCTGAATAAAATAGGAGAGTTTTACATGTAGTCTAATTGATACTTCCTCAGTATTTTATCTTGCTACTTCTCTCAGAATTTTCTGTAAATCCACCTACTTTGCAGAGTTTTAATCATTCTTTAACAATTTTAAAAATTTTAGTTTGTAGGTTCCATTTGGTAAGAAACTTAGTATCAGAAATAATGCTAAAAAGATCCACTAATGTAGATTTGGGCTACTTTTAATCATGGACTAATCATGTTTGTATTGGTGTAAGATTCAATGAATGACTTTAGCTGTATGAATATATAATAATAATACTGCAAACATTTTGTGTCCCTTTTGTGACCTAATTCACAAACATTTAAGATTGTATTGCAAGTTTGCTTTGCTGTTTAATAAAATACTGTTTCAGAGATTGTGTATGTTTTGATGTAGTTGCTAGGTAACTGGGTATATAGTGCTGTAGTGACGCTAGCCAGGACTTTCAAGCCACAACATAAGTAGCATATCTTTACCAGTTACTGGATGTTTAGGGACACAGTATTTTTTCTATTAAATGTTACAGGATATTGTACATTAAAAAAATTAAAGCAAAAAATCTAAAGAAGGATGCAAGATTGCCAGGAGAAAGGTGTTCACAATTTTTAGGTTAGGCTCAGCTCCCATAATGCGATGCAGTGATAAAGAATATAAAATAATAGTTTCTCTCCCAACTAATGGTTCTGAGGTGAGCACTGCAAGCTAGAAGACTTTGTTCCACATCATTCAGGAACTTGAACTGAGGATGACCCTGCTATTTTCAACCATGGCTTTCAAGTCACTCTAATTATCACCATTCTAATTGACAGAGAAAGCACATGGGGTACATATGCAAGGATTTATTAAGGGTTGGGCCTGCCTGATAAGGCTCATGTTTTTTCATATTCCAGTAGTGTGGAGACTTAGTTACATCCAGATGCAAAAGAAATAGTCACTGGCTGGAAGCCATATTCCAGCTATAACTTCATTACTATAAAAGCAGATAGAGAATTTGGTGGCAGCTAACAGCTTCAGTGACAGGCCTCTTCTCTTATTATTAAGTATTGTGCATAACCTTCCCACACATTAAACACACTCAACCCCAAATTCTCAGTGACTGATTCAGCTCAAAATCTAGGATCTCTATCAAGGTCCATCAGTTGTAGATGTGGCTTCTAATGGTCTGGCAACCTTTAAACTGATGGCCAGATTACTTGCTCTCACCCTTGCCTCTTTCCATTTATAATGGTGTAGTAGGGTCAGTATACCCAAATAAAAACTCCCAGTTTGGAAAATGGAATAAAGGGAAACAAATATTCAAAGCAATTGTGGAATACTCCTGAGAGATCCAGTGAAGATTCTGTTCTTTATGGTGAAGATGTTTCTTGATTCGGCTCTTGATTCTGATCTCTGGCAAGGGACTCCCTTGTTCATTGCCCTCAATGGCTTCCCCTCTCTGGAAAGTTATTCCTCATCCATTTTCCATCATGGCCATGTCTAAAGCAGAGGTTGGTAATGTGCCCTTCATGGGAGTGTGAAAACAGTTCGCTTCTTGCTGGTGTAAGCTTGGTGCACACTGTGAAGGCCATGCTCACACTTCTCTCAGTATATTTCCCTCAAAAACAGCCATCTAGTCTCTCTCTGTCCAGTTCCACATGCCAGGAACCACAGTCAAGCTCTTTCCTACCACAGACGCTCACAGCATGCTTACTTGCGTTCCTCACAGGACGTTGCCTCTACTAGAGGCTACATTGCAACCAGCTGAAAATAAGTCTGCCCTGGGAATGTACACCCAAATTGTAACATGGCACAGTTGGGTTCCTTTGGCTTAACAATTGGCAGAGAAGTCTTACTGGGCTTCCCTTTCCACCTCTCACACCTCAAAAATAAAACAGTTTTGAGCCTTTTCTGCTTTTCATGGTAAAGAAGCAATTGGCTTTTCTCTAATCCTGTAAGGTTCCTCATACCAATCTTTATTTATCCCTTCCATCTCTGCTTGGGAACTGGTAAGGTCCTGTCTTGTAATACCTTGATAAATGTATCAATTTCACATTCTGGCTTTTCCAACTATTGCTCCTAGAGCTATCAACTCAGTAGGTGACAATATGTTACCTAAAATACATGCCCCACTTGCGTGTCATATGCATGGTAAATCAATACCAAGCATTTTTTTGTTATGACAGCATCTCACTTTAGGATATCAATTTCTATATTGGAAATTTAGGTGGGAAACTGTGCACACGGAGTTGCTGGCTTCTGACAAAGACTCCTCAACCAAATTTCGGCTACGTTTTTCTGAGCCCTCTTTTCAACTAGGCCTCATCTTAGGCTCTGTCTTCAGCCTGCCTAGTCCAGTTTTAGCAAGAATTCTAGGCAAGTTTAAAGAAAATTCCTCCATTCTCCATATCTGACCACCCTGCTCTGCTGCCAGCAAGAGTCCTATTAAATCAGTTTAGCAAGCATGTCCCTACCCTTGATGTCAACTCTCAGTAATTTTCCATTCACAACCCCTCCACTCCTCACTGTAAGTCGCCTGCTATCCTTACTGTATTCAGAGCAAACAAAGCATCTCTTCCCCTATTGCAATAGTCCTAAGTCTGCCTTACCGTTTTAGCAAGTGTCAGAATAATTTTTTCTTTAAACTAACTCGCTTTAACTGCTGGTGGAATGATGATTGGCAGGGAAAATAAGCAAACACCTTTTCCTCAGGGAACCCCCCCGTCCCCCACCCACTCCAGTAGGGCTTCCCTCAATGCAACACTTACTAGCATTTCATCCAAAATTTGTCCTCTTTATATTCTCTTTGAACTTACAGCAAGTTACTATAGATCACAATCACTTACGAGGAACTCTTGGGGCCTTATGTTTCTGAATTTGCAATGTTTCAGATTTCATAAGTAGTATGAATAAGATTTGGGACAGCACCTGTAATCAATTTTTTTAACATTTTTATAGCAAAATATGTGTCTAATATTAAGTGTGATAAAGACTATATAAAAGCCTGCCAAGGTAGCCAGGTTTGGCTATCAAATAAATTTTAGTGTCAAACGAACAAACGGATCAATTTTAAGAGATTTTTGTATTTTGGAATTACCTATGCATAATAAAAGTTTGTAAAAATATAACCAAAATCATGAGCAAGCAGCTTCAGCCAGTTTATAATGGTACCTTTCTTTTCCTGCCCATTACTCCTCCCTCTGATCTAGTCCCTTTTCCAAAACAAACATGAAAGGGTGAATTATAGAGACTAAAATTAATTTTGTGACCCAAAGCAAGGCAAAATTGATCATAGTTCTTTGGAATTGTAAAGCCTTTGCCCATAGTCTTGTTTTTCTCTAAAATAAAGACCCTCTAGTGGTTGTCCTCAGTTATAGTTCAATGCTGATAGAATAAAAAATTACCAGCAGATTACTACAGATTACTTTAGCTGTTAGTACCACCTGTTAATCATGAAAGAACAGAGAATGATTACATGATTTAAGAATTGGGAGAATCACTAATGGCCTCTGAAGTACTCTATATGAAAAATAGGGTTCAGTTGATTTCACTTTAAACCATAGAAAAATGGCCATTTAGATTCAAGATGGTGGCAAGAGAGGTGAGACAGAAAACTCCTCCCAAAACCACATATAGTATGAAAATAGTTAATACAACTAACCCTAAAACAGCAACAGGAAAGAAGGCTGCACCAGACTGCATACACCTGGAGAACAGAGAAGACATCACAAAACAGGGTAATGTACCAAAGCCTTGATCCACCGGGACCCAAACCCTTCACCCCAACTCACCAGCAGGAGGAAGAGAAATGGAGTGGGTAGGAGGTGGAAGCTTAGAACTGCTGAACACCCAGAGAGATCTACTTTGAAACACAATCTACATTGTGTGGTGCTCTGAAGGTTGGTGGGGTTGGGGAGCTGGGACAGGCAGAGTGCTTGAGAGATTGAGGTTATGGCCATTTGTAGAGGACAGGGATCCACATCTGGCTGCTCTGGGACAAAGGAAAGGCAGGCGGTCTGAGAGGCTTCCTCGCAGTGAGAGGGCTGCTGAAGGGGTGGGGTTTGCATGGAGCTTGCTGTGTGGAAGAAGGAAGAGGTGGACAGGGTTGTCTGGTGTGCTCTACCCAGCAGGTTGGGAGCTTTGAGAAGCTTCAGGTGCTCTGTACCATTGGCTGGCTACTCAGCTCCGAGGCCCCTCACTGTAACATGCAGCCTGCTGCCCCTTCCTCCTGGCCTGCTGGGACTGGCTTGCAAACTGGCAGTCACTGCGCTGGTGTCATGCCAGCCAGAGGGAGGCCTCACCTACAATAGCTAGAGACACAAAGCACAGAGGCTTACACCTGTGTGCTCGGCCCACTGGCTCTGACACTGAGGACAGGCACTGCAGCCTGGAAGCAGGAAACAGCTCATTTCTCCCCCCAGGCACCAGCAGCACTGCCCTGCGACCCCTCTCACTCCAGGGGGTAAGAAGCCCCAGACACTAGAGCCTCTGGGCACTAGAGGGCGCCACATAGAAATAAGAAACACCAAAGGAACCTGGTTCAGACCAAAATCTCACAAACCCCAGAAAAAGGGCCAAATGAAACTGAAGTCACCAATCTTCCTGAAAGAGAGTTCAAAATAAAAATCATAAATATTCTCATGGAGGTACAGAAAAATATTCAAGAACTCAGGGACGAATTTAGGACATAGATTCAATCATTAATAAATTCCACATCTGAAATGAAACATTCAATGGAGGATTTAAAAGCAGGTTAGATGTAGTAGAAGAGACGGTAAATGGAATAGAAATTAGAGAAGAGGAATACAAAAAGCTGAGGCACAGAGAGAAAGAAAGGATCTCTGTAAATGAAAGAATATTGAGAGAACTGTGTGACCAATCCAAACTGAACAATATTTGCATTATAAGGGTACCAGAAGAAGAGAACAAGGGATAGAAAGTGTCACTGAGGAGGTAATTGCTGAAAAATTCTCCAATCTGGGGAAGAGAGATAGTCTCTCAGGCCATGGAGGTGCACAGATCTCCCAACACAAGGGACCAAGGAAGACAACATCAAGACATATAATAATTAAAGTGGCAAAGATCAAGGAAAAAGACAGACTTTTAAAAACAGATAGACAGAAAAAATACCACACACAAAGGAAAACCTATCAGGCTACCATCAGATTTCTCAACAGAAACCTTACAGGCCAGAAGGAGGTGGCATGATATATCAAATGCAATGAAAAACAAAGACCTCAAAATAAGAAATACTCTACCCAACAAGGTTATCATTGAAATTTGACGGGGGGATTAAACAATTTTCACATAAGAAAAAGCTGAGAGAATTTAACTTCAAGACACTACCTCTAGAGTGCATTTTGGAGGGATGGCTATAGATGGAAGTATTCATAAGGATAA